CCCCAAAACCCCAAAACCCCAAAACCCCATTATGTATTAATAAAAACAATAAAAATGTAAAGTAAATTTTAAAAAATCAAAGATAATTATTTTATTCAAGTTTAATGTAAGTTTTCTCATCAATCATGAGGATGTTTTTCTTGAGGTAATAAAACAATTAAACTTTCCTTGGATACATTAAACTAAATAAATATTTGTTTGACGTGACGACCATCATTATAGAAAAAGATTATTTTTCTCAAGGACTTCAAGAATTTATTCTAGACTTACGGGCTTAGTTATGTGCTCATCTATTTCATGATCTTTGCATTTTTTCCTAAAGTTACTTGATGAAAAAGCTGATAGTGCTGCTATAAATATTTTTTCATCCTGAATGTCAATTTTCTTCTCGAATTATCGTATTTCCTATGAGGCTTTAAAGCCATCTAGAATAGGCATATTTATATCCATGAATATAATCTTATAATGCATTGTTTTAGATTTACAAGAGCAAAGATACTTTTTTGATTATTCATATCTTTCTTATACTTTTTAAACAGCCTCCATTCCATTGTTCGCCTTTTCTGATTGAAATCCAAATTGCAATTTTATCAGGGATTGAATTGTGACAAGATTATAAATATTATCATCTACTACAAGTATATCACAAAGGAGCGAACATGGACATAGTCTATTTCAAAACATGTTTTTTAAGTTATCTTCTTTGAAGCTACAGTCATGATTTTAATTAAATTAGTCGCTTAATCTGCTACTAAAAAAATTATATGGACCAGGGGGTTAGGGGGCAATGCTAATTCTAATATTGTTTGAATGAGCAATATAATTTGATAATTACCTCGATTACTCATTTTATAAAAGAATCCTTTCAGAGCTAGCATCTTCATTATCTATTTGATAGATAGCCTTTAATTTGAAAAAAAATCTGGAACCTTTTTCGTAAGTAGGATCAAATCCAATATCTCCTTCGTCAAATAATTCAATTATATTCTTACATATACTTAATCCTAATCCTATTCCAAAAGTGTTTATTTTAGCAGATTACTCCAATTTTCCAAACAAAGTAAACAGCTTTTTCCTATCTTCCTTCTGTATTCCTATCCCAGTGTCAGAGACAGTAACCATTATTTATTTGTTTTCATAAAAGTAGTCTAATCTGACTTTAATTTTGCCCTAAAATGTGAATTTTAGGGAATTTTGGAGTAAATTTAGTAAAATTTACTTAACTCTTGACTCATCAGTGTAAAGTAAATTTGGCAAGTGCAAAGGGCTCTCATACACTACTAAAATGCCTTTTTCTTCTGCTCCTACTTTAAAGAGGTCAATAACGTCTCTTATACTTTTATCAATGTCTACCCAATCTAAATTTTTATTGAATTTGCCATTCCTTATCTAAAAGAAATCTAAGAGATCGTTCACCAAAAAGCTCATGAACTTAGCAGAATTCCTGATAATATTGAGGTATTTAAGACCTTCTTCATCTTAGACAAAAAGTTAGAGATTATCAATTAATCCTATCATTGCATTCAACGGGGTTCGCATATCATGTGAAACTGTGGCTGTCAACATCTCGTAAAAGTGATTTTCAACTTTCAAGCTTTCGTACCTCATTATTGGTGTGAGATTTTTTACAATGATCAACTTATTTTGTTTGCCTTTAAAATGGATAGTTGTATGCTAAAAATTAACGATCTCTTCCCGAAATGAATATAGATCACTATTTGCTGCCATCAAATTATCACATGTTGGAGAGGATAACTCATCATATGCTTTCAATATGTTAAAGCATCTGTTTCTAAATTTTTCATCAATTGTCTGTAAAATACAGAGAGGGTCTTTTTTAATTTATGTATATTAATCTTATATTGCATCACTATTTCCATCTTTTTCTAATTCACACTCAAAGAGTATCTATTTATTGAGGCAGTCATCTGAAATTATATATTTTTAGTCCAAGGATGATCCCTCTTAAGATTTTTGTACTTGCAGAGAATTAGACCCAAATAGTCTAAGAAATTCTTGATTTGCTATAGAGATATTTTTATCATCTTAATTAAATAAGACTATACCTTCTGGGAGATTATCAAATAATTATTTAAGTTCATCATTCATTGTTTATATCTCTTGCAATCTAATGAAAGAAAGCTTAAGACGCTTTTCATAATAATAGCATGCGTATGTTTGAATTATGACGACTGAGATAACAATACTAATAGACTAAACATCTTTAAACTTCAACACTACTCCATAATAGACTAGAGTGAAAAATGTTGAGATAGTCATTGTAATGCCAGACACCATCCAATTATAGTTCATCAAAAATGCGATAATCATAAATATGAGATGAGCTGTTAAATTTCCTGCAACCTACGGTAAAGTAGATTCTTAAGTAATATTGAATAACGACAAGCACTATGATGGAACAATAAATGGAACTTGATATTTAGCAAAGTAATTTGGCCATTTCCAAGCAGCAGTAATACAGATAGTTTGCCAGACAGTTGGCACAATTTTTATAACCCATTGAAAACCACTATATTATCTCTAATTCATTATTGCAGAAGCAACTGATCCAATCACTGTCACATACCTAATAAACAATCCCGCATAGCATATAAAGACTATGTCTCTTTCACGCTCCTTTTAGTAGTTCAGTCTTATGTTGTCTTTAGCTATATTTAGGAAGAAATTTGAATCCATAATAGTATATAATTTGAACTATGTACCGTACAATCAATATAGCAATTGGAATTGTGATAAATTAAATATTTCATCCTTCTCTAATAAAATGATATTTTTATTTATGATTTTATTTCCCCCATACATTAAAGAATAACTTAAGGAAGGGGTTTTGGGGTTTTGGGGAGATCGGAAGAGC